CCGTCCTGTCGATGAATAGAACTTAGTAACGGAGTAGTTCAAATATATGTCCTGTATCAACTAGAATTTAAATCTAAATCCCTGTTAAATGAGATTTACTCAGCATCTAATTAGGTAACGGAATTGAAGAACAAAACATGTGCAGTTGAATGTCTATTCTAATTGAGGATCAAGGTAGGAAGTACTTTCCAAATCGGACTTTAGTTGCTGCTAATTTAAGTAGGAAATCCTTTCCAAACAAGATTCAATCAAATTCAATTGCAGTTTGACAAGCACGTGGAAAGGTTGTGGGTGGGGTGTGAGCACATATGTCAAGTGCGTGGGTGTTGGGGGGGGGGGGGGGTCCCGGGGGGAGGGGGGGGGGGGTTAGCATATATATATATATATGTACCAGTCCCTGGGCCACGTACCCCCCCCCCCCAATGGTATGGTCCCCCCACTCCCCCGCATCATCCGCATCTTGGGGATGATGCTGGCAATGCTGGGGATGCTGTCCAGTACCGTGCGAGCCCTGCAGCTTCGGTCCCAGACCCCCTTTCACCCCGTGAACCAACACCCCCGCACCTCTCGCAACATCCTACACTAAACCAAACCACCCTCCAACCCTAAGCCTAAATCAACCCAAACCCCAAACCCACCCGAAACCCACCGCAAACCAACCCTGAACCAACCCTGAACCAACCCTAAACCAACCCACCAAGCCTCAACCAACTCCGAACCACACCCCAACCACCCAACCACCCAACCCACCACCCCACCACACCACCCCACCACCCCACCACCCCACCACCCCACCACCCCACCACCCCACCCACCCCACCACCCCACCACCCCATCACCCCACCACCCCACCACCCACCCCACCCCCACAGGGGGGGGGGGTTGGTCCAACCACCCAACCACCCCACCACCCAACCACCCCACCACCCCCCACCCACCCACCCCACCCCCACCCCCACAAAGGGGGGGGGGGGTTGGGGGGGGGGAGGGGGGGGGGTCCACGGCCTGGAACATATATATATATATATATAGATGTATATATATACATAATTGTATATATATATATATATTATAGATGTGTATATATATATATATACATGTGTGTTATACACATTTTTGCACACTGTGTTCAATTGGTGTATATCAGAGAGGTCATTATGCCTGAGAGCGTGTGCTTGCGCACTTGTTCCGAGCTCTGATGCTGCAGGCCAGGTGAGAGCTTCGAATTTGTGGGGATGGGGTAGTAAGTTTGTTCAGATGGCTGAAAGACCTGTTGTTCCGGTGATGAGGAAACTGGTACATGAATTTCACCTCTCAAAGTGTTTCAGGTCCGACTGAATGGTCTTTGGGCAAACAGCGCTTGTTTGCGCCTGTTAAACGTGTTATTTGGAGCCTTTTCACTTGCTCCGGAATGTCGTGGTGAGTCGATACTCGCTTTGCATTGATGCTTGCTGACTTAGTGTGTTTTGAACTGAGGCGGCGTTACCCAGTGCTTCCTTCCGGCGTTTCGCCCCGTTTTCGGCAACACTTCGGCAGGAATCGCTGCATTCTAGGTTTTACGCAAATCCTCTTGGGTACCGGAATGTGGCGAAACGCCGGAAGGAAGTACTGGGATACATTACGCGAACCTGCAGTTCTTGAGTCACTTCGCCGAATGAAGTGCTTGCGAGCCGAGGCCTACCATGCGAGGAGACACCCCGCAAGGTCGGAATTCCACGGTTTCCCAGTGGGCAGTTTGGGAAGATTGGCAAACAGGAGGCGTCCTTTCCTTGCTGTTTAATTCTTCCCGCAAGTGGTGGTGCTCATATTGTCAGAGTTGTGAATCACCGTCCTGTCGGTGCAAAACACGATCGGCTTTTCTGCGGGGCTTTCGCAGATTCAAGCTAAAGAGGTGCTCATCCATTCAGGCTTGGGGGGCCATGACTTGGCAAGTCCTCAGTTGGCAGGGTCACAGGCGAATTCAAGTCGCACGTAGCCAAGCTGAATTGGAACCCTAAGCCCCAAAGCATAATCCCAAAAGCCTAACGCAGCCCAAGCCCTGAAACCCTTTCACCTAAAGTCCGTAAGCCCAAAAAATCCGAAACCCTAACAATACTGAACGCTAAACATATTAAACCCACCCGAAACCCAACACTCTCAACCCGAACGACCCTAAACGCTGAAAACCCAAGATGTAAAATCGCTAAACCCTAAGCCTGGAAACACGACGAACTTAACCCTAAACCCACAAACCCGTAAACCCTAAAATCCCTAAGCCCCAACATGGAATCCCCCACCCCCCGCACCGCCAAGAAAACAAGGCAAAAACGAGCAGTCCGCAAAACTCAAACATTGAAAACCCTGAAACCCGTCACCCAAAGAACCCCCGTCACACTGTAAAATTTATAAAACTCTGAACCCTAAGCAGCCGAACATCCTAAATACCAACAAATACCCTAAATGCCTAAACACCCTATCAGCTCTCAGCCCGAAAATGTGTAGTAGAAAAATATGTTAAACCGAGGAAACCCTAAGGCGAGGTTTTTTGCCTTTGGGGTGATGTCAGGCGAAATATAGGGAGCGGAGTCAACCACTTTGGTATCACAGATTTCGGGTAAAATGTTCCACAGCCCTCCCCTTGTTTGGGGTCTGCTTTTCTGAGAGGCGGAGCTGCGGCAATGGTCGGCTATGGTGGGGAGGCGACGGGACAACCTCCAGCCAGCTCCAGACAACAGTTTTTTTGTTTTTTTTGCGGGTGTCCTTTTTAGGGTGGATTTCAAGGGACATCCATTTTGGGGGATCTGAAGAGACGACACACCCACAGGCTGTCGACACTTGGTGAGTTAAAAAAAGAATCACAGTTCTTAGCAAGTGTTTCTTCTTTTTCTTTTTTGTGTGTTTTGGTTCTGTTCATTTTGAGGATTGGCTTCAAAAACCAACAGGTTTTTTTTTTGCCAAGCCATGCCGGTTGGGTGAAGTGGCTGTGGGTAAAAACCAATGGAATCCAATTTTGGGGAGCTATTTTAGTGGTTTGAGAGGGAGATGTTCACTGGGCGGGCAACCGGGCTTTTGAGCCATTGGCCATGTGCGACGAAAGGGGACCCCGGACCCCTTCTCCGCATGGCTTGAGGGTTGATCAATGGCTGCAAAAGCCGTCATTTTGTGGCCATGCCACGGTTGGGTTGTGAAAACCGACCGTTTGGTTGGGCCAAGTCACTGGAGCCAACTTGGAGAAGTTCCGAGCGGCGAGGCAGGAAGAGCAGCTGGGCCAGCAGCGGGCAGAGATCCGGCGGCTCAAGGGGGAGCTGTCGGGGGCCCGAGCGCCGAGCGAAGAGCCAGCGACCGAGAGAGCTGGAAATGCAAAGGCTCCGTATCTCTGGTTTTATTAATTTATTTTTAAAAGGACCCGTTCTGCTATTTTTTTTAATTTTTTTTAAGGACCCGTTTTGCTAAGTGGACGTGTGTCCGCTTTTTCTTTTCCTTGTGCTTCACCGTGGGCATTTCTGGTCATACCATGTCCCCTTCGGCGGCTTGCCTTCCGTGCAAAATCTTCAGGCCGTAGCGTCCGAACCGAAAGGCCCTTGGTTGGGGTTCTGGGGATTTGCCTTCTTGTAGGATGGGAAACCACCCAAACAACCACACCCATGCGGCGAGAGTGAGGCCAGCCCTTTTTCATGGGCCTTGCGAGTCTATCTTCAAATTTCGTTCCTGTCAGATGCGCTGCAGCTTTGCAGGCGCTTTTCGCTTTTCGGGGCGCAAGGGGGTCGGGGCTTTACGGGGCGCCTGAAATGCCAGGCTTGAAAGGCAGGGGTGAATGTTCGAGCGTTCGGCATGGCAAGGAGAGGGCCATTTGGCAGAACCTCAACAAGGATGTAATTTTGCATATTTATAGACCTTAACAGAACCTGAAACTACTAGTACATAGGTGGATACGATGTGTAATGCTATTGTTTTGGTGTAGGTGTTTGCTTCGTTGTCAGCGAGTCTTCATCAGGAATATTGTTTTTCAAGGTAGAAGGGACGAGTGGAGTGGGTCTATCTGTCTTCATCACAATCCATCCATCTCACATGTGCTCTTTCTCGTCGACCAAATGCGAAAGTTAATGCTAAGAATACGGAGAACTGTGCACAGTACAGAACAATACTTAACCAAGTGTACTGCATCACTACTACACAATCAGAACTAAAGCAACACACCAAGAGGACCAAGACTAGACCAGACGGACTGAAGTGCCGATGGACAACCTCCTGCACCACCTAAGTGGTTTACCCATGTTTATTCCACAATTCACAGGGGTTCTTGTGTTTTTATCCATCCCTACATTTATAGCCAAGCCCAAGCTGGAGCTCGCAACTGGAAGCAGGAAAGCTGTTTGAGAAACCCTGGTTCGCCAGCCTGCGATCGTAACACACAAGTAAACGCACTAGGTCCCCCAGTAGTGCCCTTTTACCCTTTTTGGGGAGGGTTCCCCTACTAAATAGACTACAGAAAACAGGGTACCCTGATTCCAACCTCTCTACTGGAGGACGTAGCGCACACGCCCAAACCATCGAGAGCGCACCCAAACTGCCAGGAGCCAGAGAGAGACAAGAGCCATCCGGTCGCGGGGCCAAGAGAACAGCGGCTGGCCCCGCTGAGATTGGAAAAAAGAAACAGGGGCCCAGACTGGTTGTCACTTGCCATGGGGATTGGTGGCCAATCAATGTTGAAGGCATGCTTTACTTGAAATAGCCATGCATCCCAGACAAAAATCGCTTTGGCGACTCCGGCCGCTTGCTTGCTTTGGCCTTCAGGGATTCCGGAGAGGCACTTCCAAAAACAACACGCCTTGCTGTGGGCCCAGAGGGCCCCAATGCTGTATTTGTTTGTAAGAGTAGCGCTTTGCAATGTCTTGAAGTGCCACAACCATTTGCTGGAATCTTTGATACTTGTAGTTTTATATATATATATATGTGCTAAAGGAGAATCATCACAAGCCAAACACACCCAGAACCAAGCGACTTCTGTTTAGGCGAGGGCCATGGAGCGATACCGTCGTTGCCGCTTGCACCACTTGCTTTTGTTTTCGTTGCAGATTCGCAGTGGATGTGGGACGACAACCACCACCACTGGCTGCCTTGTAGTGCAAACGGAGCTGACAGAGGCGTTGATGCTGACCTACTGCTCCAGCCTGTCGGAAAATGGGGTTGACCTGTCTCCGACGGCTGTATCATGTGGTGGTGCCGACACGCCCGGGGTGCACATGGCTTTGGCCAACGCCATGTTCGCGAATTGCGGAGCGTTTGCCCTCTACGATTTCGACAGTCCTGCGACTGTGTGCCACTTTTGGACCCCCGAGAGTTCCTGCTGGAACAGTTCCAGCGATGTTTGCTCCAACTTGCCAAGCGAGACGGCCTACGCGGTGGCGCGCGCGGCTAGCATGTGCACCACGACAACGAGTTCAACGGCCACCACGAGCACCAGCAGCAGCCGCACTACAACTAGTACTTCCGCAACGACCACCAGAAGCACCAGCACAAGCAGCACCAGCACCAGGACTGCCACAACTTCCGTCACAGCAACCAGCAGCACCAGGACTGCCACAACTTCCGTCACAGCCACCAGCGCCAGCAGCACTGCCACAACTTCCATCACAGCCACCAGCGCCAGCAGCACTGCCACAACTTCTGTCCCAGACACCACCACCAGCAGCACTGCCACAACTTCCGTCGCAGACACCACCACCAGCAGCACTGCCACAACTTCCGTCACAGCCGCCACCACCACCAGCAGCACTGCCACAACTTCCGTCGCAGACACCACCAGCAGCACTGCCACAACTTCCGTCACAGCCGCCACCACCACCAGCAGCACTGCCACAACTTCCGTCGCAGACACCACCACCAGCAGCACTGCCACAACTTCCATCACAGCCACCAGCACCAGCCGCACTACCACGACTTCCATCACAGCCAGCAGCGCTACCACAACTTCCATCACAGCCACCAGCGCCAGCAGCACTGCCACAACTTCCATCACAGCCACCAGCACCAGCAGCTCTACCACACCTAGGCCGTCAAATGCAGCCAGCAGCACTACCACACCTAGTGCGTCAAACGCAGCCACCATCAGCAGTAGCACCACCACAACTAGCGCGTCAATCACAGCTACCAGCAGCAGCACCACTGCAATTGTCACAACTCTCACCACCACGACTACTGCTACCAGCGCAAGAACCAGCACAACAACCAGCACCAGTGCAATTGGCACTTCTTCCACCAGCAACGCCGCCCTGAGTTCCATCACCACGGCAGCCAAAGATGATGCCGAGCGCAAGCGCGAAGCAGCTGCTGCCGTTGGGGCTGCCGAGAACGCCACCCAGCAGGTGGCCGTCGAAGTAGCAGCGCTGCTTTTGGAGCTCTTGACAAACGCCTCTAGCGGCTCGAAGGTTCCGACGATTCTGCAGGAGACGGACTCGGGCAACGTCACGGTTGCGGCATTCGCCTCTTTCGAAGCTGCGACCATCCAAGCGGGCGATGCCGTTGTGGACGTGCCGCCGGAACTCCTACTCCAGGCCGCCAGACAGAGCAGCGTGGTGCTTCTGAGCCTGACCAACATGGCTCAGGAGAAAAGTGTAACGCCCAACAGGCCCCTGAGATTTTCAATTACAGCTCCCCGCAAGCTCAACAATGAACTGGGGCTGTCAAAGCCCAAAGTTTACTTTGGCTCCAAACTTGTATGTAAAGGAAGCGATTTTTGCGCTGAAGCTGCCAAAGCGTCCTCCTTGCGCTAGACTTGCACAACGAGCACTTCCCTTGCTACTTTTCTGCTGGCACACTTGATGCGCACACTTGTACTGAGAATCTGCGATTTTCAAGCTGGCACAAGCGCACTTTATGCACGCTGCACTTGTACTGAAAGGTTGGGAGACGGAGCTGCCAAAAAGCGCACTTCGCATGCTGTCTTTGCGACGAAGATTTTGCATTTGCACGCGACGACCGCCAAACACCGCCTCTGGGCACATGCGAAACGAACTTTGGAACTGCCCACAGGTGTCCTTTTTAGACTTAGTTTGATTAAAGATAGCTGGCGCTGGTTTAGGTGGGGTGTCTTCCATTTACCAGATCGATCTTTCCAAAAGGCCATCGGCTCCGCTGCCAGGACCTTGCCAGCAAGATACAGTCCAGCCAAGGTGCGGTGACCTCAAGGTTGGTGTCCCAGCCTTTGGTCGTAGATTTTCGGGATGCCAATGGCACCGTCCTGGAGATGGGGAATCTGGACAGGCCGCTAACTCTGGAGATGTCGGCACCAGGCAACCTAAGTGGCCTCGCATGCGCCTTTTGGAATGAAGGGACTGCTTCGTGGTCAACTGATGGGATGACGCTGGTGGGCAGTACGAACAACACACAGATTTGTGAAACGTCGCACCTCTCCATTTTCGCTATCATCGAAATGGTCATTGAACAGTCGATCCAAGCGCTGGACTGCAGCACTGCAGGGCAGCTGCTGACGCAGAAGGCCTTTCGTCAGCTCGGCGCCAACGGCGACTGGATTCAGCATGATGCGGCTGTGGCGATCATCTGCATGATATGCCTATTCTGCATTTTCTGGTGGATGGCATGTCGCCAAGACTGGGCGGCAGGCCGGAATCTGCCTCGAAAGACGCGAGAAGCGATTCTGTTCCGCCTGGCGGATGAGAGTCCAGATCGAGACGTAGGACTCAAAAAAAATATTCACCTCCAACCCCCCCCCAAAAAAAAAAAAGAAGAAGAAAGAAAAAGCAAAAACTAAGCGGGAAAACAACTGGGAGTCGATCTAAATCGACGGAACTAGGCTTCGTGTACGGGAGACCTAGTGGATATACAAGGTGTCGCCACACTGTGGTCGCGAAAGAGGGCGTAAGGGCGAGCGAAAGGGAAAGTGGTCGGTGTTATGCACAATGGTTTTGAGGGCCTCAAATGGCTCCAAATGTTATTTTGGGCTTGTGCAAAACACTTTTCAGACCAGCTTGAAGCATTTTCGGCACGCTGGGTTTGGAATCTGTAGGTTTTTGATCCGATTAGGATCCTTTAGTCACCAGGGCCTAAGGTCCCCCCTCCAAAGGTCCCCCCCAAAAAAGTTAAGGCAAGTTCTTGGATGGGAGAGTGGATTGCCACACATCTGCAACGATTCAAGAGCCATTTTGGCTCCCGTGCGTCACTGAGCAGACTCTGGAATAGAAATGCTGAATGCTATGGAATGCTGACATTGGCCCGCAGAATCCGCAGAAGTTATTTTCACCGGCTGGAAAACGAGTTCCGGGACAGAATCCGCAGAAGCTATTTTCACCGACTGGAAAACGATTTTGGGGACACCCATCAAAAGCTCCTTATTAAGCACTTTATAAAGCTTGTCAATTAAGCTCCTTATACAGCTCCTTACAAACCTCCTTACAAAGCTCCTCCTTACAAAGCTCCTTATAAAGCTCTTCATTGAGATCTTCTTTATAAGGCTCCTTATAAAGCTTTTTATAACATTGGCCCGCAGAATCCGCAGAAGTTATTTTCACCGGCTGGAAAACGAGTTCCGGCACCGAATCCGCAGAAGTTATTTTCAACCGGCTGGAAAACGATTACGGGACAGAATCCGCAGAAGTTATTTTCACCGGCTGGAAAACGATTTTGGGGACACCCACTAAAAGCTCCTTATAAAGCACTTTATAAAGCTTGTCAATTAAGCTCCTTCTACAGCTCCTTACAAACCTCCTTACAAAGCTCCTCCTTACAAAGCTCCTTATAAAGCTCTTCATTGAGATCTTCTTTATAAGGCTCCTTATAAAGCTTTTTATAACATTGGCCCGCAGAATCCGCAGAAGTTATTTTCACCGGCTGGAAAACGAGTTCCGGCACCGAATCCGCAGAAGTTATTTTCAACCGGCTGGAAAAGGATTACGGGGCAGAATCCGCAGAAGTTATTTTCACCGGCTGGAAAACGATTTTGGGGACACCCACTAAAAGCTCCTTATAAAGCACTTTATAAAGCTTGTCAATGAAGCTCCTTATAAAGCTCCTCACAAACCTCCTTACAAAGCTCCTCCTTACAAAGCTCCTTATAAAGCTCTTCATTGAGATCTTCTTCATAAGGCTGCTTATAAAGCTTTTTACAACATTGGCCCGCATAATCCGCAGAAGTTATTTTCACCGGCTGGAAAACGAGTTCCGGCACCGAATCCGCAGAAGTTATTTTCACCGGCTGGAAAACGATTTCGGGACAGAATCCGCAGAGGTTATTTTCACCGGCTGGAAAACGATTTTGGGACAGAATCCGCAGAAGTTATTTTCACCGGCTGGAAAACGATTTCGGGGACACCCATCAAAAGCTCCCTATAAAGCACTTTATAAGGCTTGTCAATTAAGCTCCTTATACTCCTTACAAACCTCCTTACAAAGCTCCTCCTTACAAAGCTCCTTATAAAGCTCTTCATTGAGATCTTCTTTATAAGGCTCCTTATAAAGCTTTTTACAACATTGGCCCGCAGAATCCGCAGAAGTTATTTTCACCGGCTGGAAAACGAGTTCCGGGGCAAAATTCGCAGAAGTCATGCCACCGGCTGGAAAACGAGTTCCGGGACAGAATCCGCAGAAGTTATTTTCACCGGCTGGAAAACGATTTCGGGACAGAGTCCGCAGAAGTTATTTTCACCGACTGGAAAACGATTTTGGGGACACCCATCAAAAGCTCCTTATAAAGCACTTTATAAAGCTTGTCAATTAAGCTCCTTATACAGCTCCTTACAAACCTCCTTACAAAGCTCCTCCTGACAAAGCTCCTTATAAAGCTCTTCATTGAGATCTTCTTTATATGGCTCCTTATAAAGCTTTTTATATCTGCCTGCAGAATCCGCAGAAGTTATTTTCACCGGCTGGAAAACGATTTCGTTATTTTTCACCGGCTGGAAAACGAGTTCCGGGACACAATCCGCAGAAGCTATTTTCACCGGCTGGAAAACGATTTTGGTACAGAATCTGCAGAAGTTATTTGCACCGGCTGGAAAACGATTTCCATGCTCCTTATAAAGCTTGTCAATTAAGCTCCTTACAAACCTCCTTACGAAGCTCCTCCTTACAAAGCTCCTTATAAGGCTCTTCATTGAGATCTTCTTTACAAAGGCTCGTTAAAGAGCTTTTTATAACATTGGCCCGCAGAATCCGCAGAAGTTATTTTCACCGGCTGGAAAACGAGTTCCGGGACAGAATCCGCAGAAGCTATTTTCACCGACTGGAAAACGATTTTGGGACAGAATCCGCAGAAGTTATTTTCACCGGCTGGAAAACGAGTTCCGGGACACCCATCAAAACCTCCTTATAATGCACTGTATAAAGCTTGCCAATTAAGCTCCATATACAGCTCCTTACACACCCGCAGAAGTTATTTTCACCGGCTGGAAAACGAGTTCCGGCACCGAATCCGCAGAAGTTATTTTCACCGGCTGGAAAACGATTTCGGGACAGAATCCGCAGAAGTTATTTTTCACCGGCTGGAAAGTGAGTTCCGGGACAAAATCCGCAGAAGTTATTTTCACCGGCTGGAAAACGATTTCGGGGACACCCATCAAAAGCTCCTTATAAATCACTTTATAAAGCTTGTCAATTAAGCTCCTTCTACAGCTCGTTACAAACCTCCTTACGAAGCTCCTCCTTACAAAGCTCCTTATAAAGCTCTTCTTCTTGGCTCCTTAAGAAGCTTTTTATAACATTGGCCCGCAGAATCCGCAGAAGTTATTTTCACCGGCTGGAAAACGAGTTCCGGCACCGAATCCGCAGAAGTTATTTTCACTGGCTGGAAAACGATTTCGGGACAGAATCCGCAGAAGTTATTTTTCACCGGCTGGAAAGTGAGTTCCGGGACAAAATCCGCAAAAGTTATTTTCACCGGCTGGAAAACGATTTCGGGACAGAATCCGCAGAGGTTATTTTCACCGGCTGGAAAACGATTTTGGGACAGAATCCGCAGAAGTTATTTTCACCGGCTGGAAAACGATTTCGGGGACACCCATCAAAAGCTCCTTATAAAGCACTTTATAAAGCTTGTTAAGTAAGCTCTTTATAAAGCTCCTTACAAAGCTCCTTATAAAGCTCTTCATTGAGATCTTCTTTATAAGGCTGGAAAACAAGTTCCGGCACCGAATCCGCAGAAGTTTTTTTTCGGCTGGAGAACGATTTCGGGACAGAATCCGCAGAAGTTATTTTTCACCGGCTGGAAAGTGAGTTCCGGGACAGAATCCCCAGAAGTTATTTTCACCGGCTGGAAAGCGAGTTCCGGGATAGAATCCCCAGAAGTAATTATCAAAAGCTTGTAACTATATAAAGCTTGTCATTAAGCTACTTATAAAGCTCCTTACACAGCCCTTATAAAGCACCTTAAAAAGCTCCTTGCAAAGCTCCTTCTAAAGCTCCTTCTGGCGCTCCTCACAAAACTCCTTACAAAGCTTCTTATAAACATCCTTACAGAGCTCCTTATAAAGCTCTGCAAAGCTCCTCTTAAAGCTTCTTTTAAGGCTCCGTATACTTCCTTTACTACACTTGTAATGGAAAGTTGCGACTTCCGAGCCGGAGCTGCCAAAGTGCACTTCCTTTACTACAATTGTACTGAAGAGTTGCGACTTGCGAGCCGGAGCTGCCGAAGTGCACTTCCTTTACTACACTTGCACTGAACAGTTGCGACTTGCGAGAGTGTACTTCTTTTGTAGTTGCTCACATAGAGAAAGCTCCACTCCCCGAGCCGCGAAAGCCGGCGTAAGGGCGAGCGAAAGGGACTCTGTTTGTCCTTACAGCGGCACCAACATTTAGATCAACCCCCAACTGCCATCACTGTAATTAGTTCGTGACCCGCTGTGGGAGCGCGGTACGAGAAATTGGTATGGCATAATTCTGGAGCATAGGAGATGTGGTTAGGAAGTTCAACCCACACTCAAACCTTCCCAAACCACCCAAGTGAGACCCTACAAGCCTTAGGCAGCCGAACCTGTACTTTTTGAGGGGAACTTGTCTTCGCTAGGGGACCCCCCAAAAAGGATTTAGGTGTTCGTTTCGGTTTTCCCTTCAAACCACGCAAAGAGGGTCGCAACAAAATCAAGCACATCTGGCCGCGAGCTGACATGCATATCATGAATGACTATAGAAAACGGGGTGCTTTGGAGTAGACTTCAAGGACTCATCTGGCTGCTGTACCACCACCCCGTGGCAGCTGCGAGTCACGGCCTACGAGTGCTGCGAAAGCTCCCCGCCGCCCCGAGGTTAGCGGTGCTCTACAGCCTTGAGTTGGACCACGCACGAAGGTGGCGCTAGGCTTTTTTTTTGGTTGTAGTTTTTTCCCCCGCGCGCGAAGGCTACGCTTCTTTTTGGGGTTTGGTTGCCATTTTCGCGGCAGAAAGTCGGACTCTTTTGTTTGGCCAGTCCACTCAGGAAGTGAGAAGGAAGGGGGGGTGTTCCTTATGTTGAAAAGCATACCCAGGTCTCGTCTCCACCTCAAGAGCCTCAATGCCGTGAGGAGCAAGGGTTCCGCCAAGCCCAACTCCGCCGTTGCGCACGCATTATCAGACATCCAGCAGCGATATGATGTATATGGCAACGCGGAGGACGGATATTTTTTGGTCAGCGCGTTTTTTGAAATGCCTTGCGCATGTCAGAATTGTAGTGCTGGCCAGGAGATTTAGACTGTATGCTCGCCCACCTGGAACTTGTTTGCATGAGTTGTTTGCATTCGCATGGCTGGCGACATGCAACTGACTGCTCATTTGTGCAGATTTGTTTTGCAGGGAGTTGTTGGCTGGAACGCAGGGCACGAGATGACAGGAAAGGCACACCAAGAGGCCGGAAAAGGAGGAGTGCACAAAATGCTAACAGCACGAGAAAAGAACGGGGCGAGGACAGGGAGGGCAGACGATAAAGGCCAAAAAGGGATGGAACCAGGACACGAAGAGCCGGGAGAAGTGCACGAGGGTGGGAAAAGAACAGCAACAGAGAGAAAAGGACATTTTGAGCCCCAAACAGGGCGAAGAAAACAAAGACTGCGCCGGAAGCCTTTGCAGGATAGCGGGAGATCAAGGCGAGGACGCCCATCCAAGCAAGGCACCGCTCTTGGCGACAGCAAAACGATGCTAGCTTCGAGCTGTGAAGATCCAAACAGCGGATCCCAAAGTTATTCCAAGTGCTTTTCTCTTGCACTCCGAAGAGGCACGCTGCACTCCGAAGAAGAGACACGAACATGGCACGCAGAATTCCGCAAATTAAGAGAGACTTCAAACGCGAACTCAGAACTCTTCTGCGCATCTGGGAAACCCCCTTCGGCGTTCATTTGAAACATACCAGTCGCATGCGTTTGCAACTGTCCCAGGGCCTTCCAAGCGCAGGACTCCGTCAATGCCATCTTGAGCTCGTCTTTTTGGCGGCGAGCGCTTACGCTGTGGATCAGCTTGCACCCGATGCTGGTCCTCTTGCAGTCCTGCATGTTCACTCCTGCCAAAGTCCGCGTGGCCCTCATTTTTGCGAGGGTCTTTGGGGCTGGTCTCGGCAACGCCGTGTTCTTCGCAAACGACGATCCTGACTGCTCCCGCAGCCATGGCTTCTGGCCAGACATTGTCCGGGAGGTGACGGTGGGGGTATGTAGTGCGTTGATGAGCAGCGGGGTCGTCCTGGCGCTCTTCTTGCTTCAAAAGCAGTCTGTTGTGGAGAAGCAAGAGTGGACAGAGAGTCTCATCCAGGGCCAAAAGTGCCGCTGGCGCTGTAGAGCCGCCACCTTTTGGCTGGTGTGGCTGCTCTACATGCTGGGCTCCCTATGTTGCCCACTTGCCCACTGGATTCCGCCCATTCTTTCTTCCTCTTTGTTTTTGGGCCAGGGTTCAACGATTCCTTTCAACTCCACCTTCCCCCAGAAAAATATCGGCGGCCGCTCCTTATTTTCTCCTTAGTCTTCTTAGTTTCCTTGTGAAAACATCCAATGGTTGACAGATTGTAAAGGAAGCGGTTAAAGTGGTGTTTTCCCTGTAAAGTGCTGTTTTCCCCTCCCCACCCCCTTAAAAATGGACTTGGGGAGGGAATTCCCCTGGAGATCTCCCTTTGTGACCACCCAATTTGTCCCCTTCTCCGGATATTTTTTTTCGCCCCCCACCTTCCTGAAGGTCGGGGGGAGGGTTCTCCCCAGGCTCCCCACACGAACCCCGAGGCTACCTCTGCCTCTTCGTGGGGAACTTCCCGGCCTCCGAGGGCTCCGCGTGGCTCCGCGCCACGGTGGTCAGCCTGCTGCAGCACCAGGTGGCCGCGCCCCTGGCCATGGCCCTCACGCTGAGCCCCCCGGCGCCCGGCTTTTTTTCGCGTTTGGGGGGGGGGTTTTGTGGTTTCTGGTTGAGTGTTTGTTGCTTTTTCTCGTTTTTGTCCTTTTCGTTGTTTGTGTGTTTTTTTGGGGTGTGTGTTTGGAAACCAAGAGGAAAACACCCGTCAAAGGGGCTGGTGTTTTTAGGGGTGTTGGAAACCAAAAGGAAGCCAGTGCTTGGTTTTTGGGGAAGCCAGTCATTTTCTCACGGCGGATTTTCCAAGACGCCCGCAAGCTTGAAAAGGGTTCTGGGATCAAAGTAAGTCGCAGCAAAACAAACAAGGCTCCAAGAGGATGAGGTGTCTTTTTTCTCCCGTCGGGCGTTTTTGTTTCTTCTTGGGTCTGGTTCGTTGGTGTTTTTTTTAGCCGAGGTTTGCTCATCTCCGCGGTGATTCGCTCGTCAAAGATGGAGCAAGAGATCCGCGAGGATTGGTTCCGGGGCATTGCGCACCTGCACAGCAGGTCCGCGGCTTGGCGCGGATCTCTGGGCCCTGGAGGTGCCAAGCTTCTCATTTGTTCTTTTTTGGTTTGGGAGGGTTTTGTTCTAAATAGACAGAGAAAAGTTGGCACCCTTAGTCTAACCTCTCAAATCTGGAGGAGCTAGTAATTAGATGAGTGATCTGACTTCCATCTGCTGACAAGAATATAGTGATTCATGTTCTTCCCGTTGATGTTTTAAAGGAAACTATCACCACTAGAAATACTGTTGCTTTTTCCTGGGGACTTAAGCAAATGGAGGCCTGGCTGGTGGTTGGCTCCGTTCCAACCACCAGCAGCCGTTCCGGAGCTGTGGAGTGTATCCATTTTTTTGCATTTTGATCTGTGGATGCCACCTCTGTGTTCAACTCTTACTTCTTTTTGTTTTGTTTGGGGGGGGGGGGGGGCGGGGGCGGTTTCAGAGTCAGCAGGGGTACTGTTACTTTGGGAAGCCCACCCGAAAGACAATCTGAGAAAGGCGCTTTTTACTGTGGAGCGATGCCAGGAACAGGCTCCCTAGGCAACAAACGGGTATGCTTTGGTCCCTTGGCTCTATTTCTCCAACAAACACAAGGAGCGTCAAAGTCATGCAATATGAGAAACCGTGTAGATGTCCCGGCTTGTATACACTATCCGTCGTGTCTCCACAGGGGCACGCAGCTATTGCCCTGTTAAAGACGAAGATGGGCCTTAGCTCAATCCTCTGAAAACACAGAAAAGCCTCCCCCCCTGAATGTGTGTGTGTGTGTGTTTTTAAAGCTTGGTACCCTTCTCAGGTGATTGAAAAGGGAAACAAAAAGGAACAAAACACACAGTTTTGGGATTTGCTATTTTTTCCTTTTCTCGGAGCTTCTCAAATGGTGCTTCAATCCCCCTTTTGGTTACGGTGTCTACATTTGTTTTTTTGTGGAGGGCAGGCAGGGGCCGGTGGCCTGAAAGGTTGTTTAATTCCGGTTTTGTTTCAACCTGCCGGCCGGGCCCGCGGCAGTGGGTCAGAGATAGTCTAAGACATCTGTTTCAGTGTCCGTATGTTAGAAAGGCAAGTTGGAGGAGTTCCCACTGTTTGGGCTCCAACTGGGGCTACAACAAGCAGTTGGAGTTCCCACTGCAGGGCTCCATCGGCTGGGGTTCCAACTGTTGGGCTCCAACTGGGGCTACAACAAGCAGTTGGAGTTCCCACTGCAGGGCTCCATCGGCTGGGGTTCCAACTGTTGGGCTCCAACTGGGGCTACAACAAGCAGTTGGAGTTCCCACTGCAGGGCTCCATCGGCTGGGGTTCCAACTGTTGGGCTCCAACTGGGGCTACAACAAGCAGTTGGAGTTCCCACTGCAGGGCTCCAACGGCTGGATTCCAACTGTTTGGGCTCCAACTGGGGCTACAACAAGCAGTTGGAGTTCCCACTGCAGGGCTCCAACGGCTGGGTTCCAACTGTTTGGGCTCCAACCGGGGCTACAACAAGCAGTTGGAGTTCCCACTGCAGGGCTCCATCGGCTGGGGTTCCAACTGTTGGGCTCCAACTGGGGCTACAACAAGCAGTTGGAGTCCATTGCAGGGCTCCATCGGCTGGGGTTCCAACTGCTGGGCTCCAACTGGGGCTACAACAAGCAGTTGGAGTTCCCACTGCAGGGCTCCATCGGCTGGGGTTCCAACTGTTGGGCTCCAACTGGGGCTACAACAAGCAGTTGGAGTTCCCAACTGTTGGGCTCCAACGGGGGCTACAACAAGCAGTTGGAGTTCCCACTGCAGGGCTCCATCGGCTGGGTTCCAACTGTTGGGCTCCAACTGGGGCTACAACAACATTGAGTTCCCACTGCAGGGCCCACGGCTGGGTTCCAACTGTTGGGCTACAACAAGCAGTTGGAGTTCCCACTGCAGGGCTCCATCGGCTGGGGTTCCAACTGTTGGGCTCCAACTGGGGCTACAACAAGCAGTTGGAGTTCCCACTGCAGGCTCCAACAAACAAGCAGTTGGAGTTCTGGCTCCACTGGGTTCCAAACTGTTGGGCTCCAACAGGGGCTACAACAAGCAGTGGAGTTCCCACTGCAGGGCTCCATCGGCCTGGGTTCCAACTGTTGGGCTCCAACTGGGGCTACAACAAGCAGTTGGAGTCCACTGCAGGGCTCCATCGGCTGGGTTCCAACTGTTGGGCTCCAACTGGGCTACAACAAGCAGTTTGGAGGGCTCCCGGCTGGGGTTCCAACTTGGGCTCCAACTGGGGCTCAACAAGCGGCGGCTTGAATTCCAACTTTTGGGCTCCAACTGGGGCTACAACAATGTTGGAGTTTCCCACTGCTGGCCCAACGGCTGGTTCCAACTGTTTTGGGCTCCAACCGGGCTACAACAAGCAGTTGGAGTTCCCACTGCAGGGCTCCATCGGCTGGGTTCCAACTGTTGGGTTTGTTCCAACTGGGGCTACAACAAGCAGTTGGAGTTCCCACTGCAGGGCTCCAACGGCTGGGTTCCAATTGTTTGTGGCTCCAGCTGTGGGGCTACAACAAGCAGTTGGAGTTCCCACTGCAGGGCTCCAACGGCTGGGTTCCAATTGTTTGTGGCTCCAGCTGTGGGGCTACAACAAGCAGTTGGAGTTCCCACTGCAGGGCTCCAACGGCTGGGTTCCAATTGTTTGTGGCTCCAGCTGTGGGGCTACAACAAGCAGTTGGAGTTCCCACTGCAGGGCTCCAACGGCTGGGTTCCAATTGTTTGTGGCTCCAGCTGTGGGGCTACAACAAGCAGTTGGAGTTCCCACTGCAGGGCTCCAACGGCTGGGTTCCAATTGTTTGGGCTCCAGCTGTGGGGCTACAACAAGCAGTTGGAGTTCCCACTGCAGGGCTCCAACGGCTGGGTTCCAATTGTTTGTGGCTCCAGCTGTGGGGCGACAACAAGCAGTTGGAGTTCCCACTGCAGGTCTCCAACGGCTGGGTTCCAATTGTTTGGGCTCCAACAAGTGTGGGGGCTACAACGGAGCTCCCACTGGGGTTCCAATTGTTTGGACCCCAAACTGTGGGGGCTACAGCAAGCAGTTGGAGTTTCCACTGCGGGGCGCGGGTTCCAATTGTTTGCGCCCCAATTGTGGAGGCTACAGCAAACAGTTGGAGTTCCCTCTATGTGGGCTCCAATTGCAACAGACAGTTGGAGTTCTCACTGCAGGGCTCCAACAGCTTGGTTTCCAACTGTGTGGGCTCCAACTGTTTCCAACCTTGCAATTCCTATTCTGTTTCAATATTCCGCATGTTTTTGAACTGGCCCGGCCGGGCCGGTCGCTTGCCAATCAGACCTAGTATGAAACACCAGTTTAACTTCCGTTTGTTTATTTGCTGGCCGGGCCCGGCGTATTTCCTCCAGACCTAGTATAAAACACCAGTTCACCTATTTTAACCGTCCGGGTATTTCTTTGCAGACGCCGTAGTTTATTTAAGAGACAGCAAACAGAAACCGTTGCCATGCTGTTTGGGGGGGATTTCTGTTTTGCGAGCCTTCTGGTTTCGGTAACCGAACCTATCTTTTTACCTGTCGCCCATAGCCCAGGTTTTGCCGGAGCTTGAGCCCGGTCTGGAGGATGCCGGTCCCAAGGCCGACGATTTCACCCCCGGGCAAATGCCAGCCGGGAAGCCGGAAGATGAGGAAGGGAGTGAAGTGGAATATATGGAAAGCACGTCCCTGTAACGATCTAGAGGCGGCGAAGCTGTCTCAATCCACAGGTATGTGGTATGAACGATTTTTTAAGCACCCCTGAGGCGGCCAAGCCGCCATGGTGGCGCTTGTGTATCAAGTGGGCATTGGGTAATTTCTGGTCCCATCGTTTTTTTTTCGCACGAGTGGCGCGAATTTGCGCACATTGCGGCCGGATTAGGTTTGCATTCCGGAGTCGCCGAGCTCCGTTGCGACTCAAAGGAGAAAGAAAAGGGGAGAGCCACTCCTGAAAGCCCGGGTAGATGAAGGCTAGCAAGGGATAGTCCCAACCAGAAATAGTTGCGGCCTTCATAATTCTTGACATGGTTCTGGGTAGACCTTGTTATCACCAGGTTTTGATTGTGACTCAAACAAGACTGGGCCTTGGCCAGAACTTGGTAACGTGAACCGCTTCACAGCGGGTTCTCCGACTGTTGTGCTCAACATTTTCCGGACCCGATTTCTTTGGTGCACCGGCCTGCTAAAAAGTCGGCCCCCGAAAGTGGCGGTCTTGCTTTGGCCCAGGTCCTTTTGGTTCCCTTCGCCGCCCAAAAAACAAATCGACGGCTCCCAAAAAATTCCACCGGGGCATCAGCCGGGTTCCTCGGGCCCGAGGATGCCCAGTGCGAGATCAGCTGCCTCCGGGCATCCATCCAGCGGCGAGACGCGGAGGCGCACTTGGCGCAGGCCTTGGACTGCGGCGACTGCGGCGGAGGTGTCGGTCGAGTTCTCTTCGGGTTTTTTTCAGAAACAAGGGAAGCCCTCCCTCCCAAAAGCGAGAATGGGGCGGGCGTGTAAGTTGAAAAAGGGAAACGGATGTTGTGAGCAACAGGGGACCCCCCAAACAAATTTGGTTGAAACTCCGGGTTGATGTTTACTGCACAAGGGAAACTTTGTGGGCAAATGTTTTGAGAAGAAGAGGACCCCCCCCAAAAAAAAATGGGGTGGGTGTTTTAGATTCAAAGGAAGCTTTGTGGGCGGTTTGAGAAAACGTGGACTCCCCAAGTTCGGAACTTGGGGTTGGTGCTTAGGTTCAAAAGGAAACTTTGTGGTCGCATGTTTTGAAAAAGGGGACCCAACAAACCAATTCGGGGTTGGAGTTTAGAAGACAGGAAACTTTGTGGTCGCATGTTTTGAGAAAAAGGGGACCCCTCAATCAAATTCGGGGTTGGTGTTTAGGTGGAGAAAGGGAAACTTTGAGGGCATTTTTTGAGAAATGGGAGACCCTCCAAACAAAATGTGGGGTTGGTGTTTAGGTTGAAGAAAAGACACGTTGTGGTCTTGCTGTTTATCTTTGAAAAGCGACCCCACCTAGGGTCCAACTACCTGACAGATACCCCTCAAGCCGGGGTGAAAGGATGTCTTGTGAAAGGATGTTTGCCTCCGCTTCAGGTTTGGGGCCAAATTGTTGCAACCCCTCTAAGAAGAAGGAGGTTCAAGCAGACGGTGCTCAAGTAGCCCAAGCTTGCAAGCGATGGTTTGTACTAGGTGTCTAATCCGCCCTTTTGGGGGAACCTTTTTTTGTGGTGGTATGGGGTTGTCTAACAGTGGGGAAGCCTCCCAAATGAACGGGTTTCCGTGTTGCTCCCTGAACAAATGGGTAAGGCACAAAAGAGACACGCCCGGACGTCAAATCCCCATCATTCCCTGGCCCCAGCTCATGCTAAGCCCGGATTTCTCAGAATCCTCGCGAAGGAGGTATCATCTATGGCATGTGAATCAATGCTTCCGGTTGCCACTGCAGGTAACCCAGGATCCGTATACCTCTAGGTTTTACCACTGGTTTTTTCTGGAAGCTCTGGGCGTCGCGACTCACCGGGAAAAAGCGAAAGAACGCCGGGCCCGCGGCGAGGCGGATGTTTCTTTCGGAGCAGTGGGCAGTTTCAGCTCCGATCCCCCGGCAGGTGGAGCTGGCGTATCTCAACAGTCTCATTGCCCACAAGGACCGCTGGGAGGCGGCAAAGGCCGCAGTCTCTTCTTCTGGCACCGCCAGAAACGGCAAGATGCCCTGGGGCCTGCTAAAAAACAAGCCAAGTGGCGGAAGCTATGGGTTCAAACATCTTCGGCAACAAGCGAGGTGGCAAAACAATGAGGTTGACCAAGAAAAACCAGCAGTGTGAACGCCCCGCCTTGAAACCGCCGGCGATCTAGGTCCCCCGGTAGTGCTCTTCTCTCCCCTTTTTTGGGAGGGTTCCCCTGCTAAAATAGACAGGAAAAAAATAGGGTACCCTTCTTCTAAGCTCTCCACTGGACCTAGCGATGTTGCACTTGCCATGCCCCGCCAGTCCTTTGCCTTCGGCCTTCGGCACCGAAGGACCAGCAGCTGCAACGCGCAGAGGAGCAGCTGTGGGGAGCTCGGAAGCTCCGTGGCCTGAGGTGCGGCTCGATGCTCGCCAGTCCCCGAAAAACCGCGACCCGAGCGGTGTGGAGTTCCATGTGGCTGGCTGCATAGGAATCCTCGGGCAGTTTGGGCTGGGGTGTCCGTCGTAGAGGTGTCTGTGTTCCGTGTGGTCTTGGGAGGGCACCTGCAACACTCAACTCACCTGCAGTCCTTTGCCGACGGCAACTTTTCCCGCATCCATTGACCTGTGTAGGCAACCAAGGAAACCACCCGATATACAAACCAAAAGGAAAATAGCGAGGGGGTCAATGGGATCCACCGACTATCTTGAAAACAGCCCAGAATTCGCCAGCCAGCCGACCAGCCAGGCAGACCATGCGTTTGCTTGAAGCTTAACCGATGTCCACTTTGGGTCACTGCCTTTGAGGAGGAATTCCGGAAAACTTCGGTGGAGTTCAACTGGCAAACCAAAACCAGTTGTTGTTGGGAAACATTTTACATGCTTGCTTATTGTGGTTTAGTGGGAAATCCCCACTTAACTGCTAACATTTAAGATTTTGCTTCCCTTCCAACGTCAACCAAGAAACTGTCCCTTCAGTTTTGATTGCAGGGCTTCCCCAAGTCCCCACAAAGCGGAGAATGGGTGTCTCGGTGCAAAGCGGCCAGGGTTTCCTTTTGGTTCTGTAAAAAAATCCCGTGGAGTGTCTTGGCTAGGACTCCAAAAAAATTGGTGGCTGTTGTGGTTCTCAGTGTAGCTTCCCAGTTTGGGCAATGCCAGCTAATGACCCCAACACCGTGCTCGGGTTTCAATCTGAAAACCTGGGCACCGAGTCATGGAAAGGAAGCTTTGGATAACCAATCAAGGCCAAATTGCCCCGCTGGTCTTCGAACCTCAGATTCCCGTCTTCGAGTAATTTTGACGGAGCTTCGAGGGCAACCACGTCTTGCTCCAGCAGTGACACGGCGGCGGACTGAGTCAGTTTCTGTGTGCTTGCAGAAATAGGATGACTGTTTGTCGAAGTTCGGAAGGGGACTCTAAACTGGCCAAACGGGTGGATGGTTTATCTTTTTCCGCCCCCCTCCCCCTCCCCCACAAAAAGGGACATGCACCCTGCAGTCTGCTCAAGACTGATGGGTGTGCATGAAGTGCGGGTCATTTTGGCAGCAAGGTTTGTTCGCCTTTCATGTGCCTGTCCAATGAAAGGCGACATATGTGTGTTTCTCAAAATGGCCCCGAGAAATCCGAGTTGTTTTCTTGTGTCTTCCCCTTGAAAACCATCCCAAAAGGCGCCGTTCGTTTGAGAGACCTACGCCAAACAGGGTACCCTCTCCCACATGGCACCCAGGAGGGAAGAAGCAGATGCCCTCCCAAAGGTGCCATGTTGGAAGGCTGCCGATCCCCAGAACCGGTTCATTCCCAAAACCCTGAAGCTCATTCCTTACCCATCGCAGCAAGGGCCATGTCCTCAACCTGGAATTTTCCGGCGAAAAGACTTTTCATAATAGAGGACCCCTAAAACAGTCACAGCATCCTGAATTAGAAAGCTTTCTACAATAGAGGGGACTATGAATAAAGGAGGTCTAACATTAACCTCCAAAGAAGACACCCAAGCAAAAAGCTGGGCGCCGTTTGGACCACGGTAAAAAAACCGCAGGGATTCGACTGGCCCAAGGCGCCGCGGCTCTCAGCAGCGCGACGAGCGAGGGAGCGGCAGTTGGTTGGTTGCATGGTGAAACTCAAGCTAGCGATTCATAGCAAGGGTTATGGCGAGACGCCTGGGCCGCCTCATGCCTGATGCCTTACCTGCTTGCTTGCTTTGTACGGTTTGAGGGACCTGATTGTAGAATGACTGTGAAATTCCCTCGCATGTGGGCGCTCCTGTTCTCAATGTAATCTTTGTTTTGTCCAGGTGGCTTCCCTTTAAACCCCCCATTTGGACACCTGAAAGCCTTCGCTCCCTCGGGAAGCCTTCCATCTTTGGATTCCCATCTTGGCTTCACGGAAGTCCCAGCCAGATAGACTTCGGATTCGACTTCGCGATGTTGGATATTATATGGGTATGGGTCAAAATGAAAAACCACCAGGATATGGAATGCAGGATTTATAGTCCAGGTCCATTTACCAGGGCAAGTTCCATTTTGGGGTTGCATGTCTGACCCACCACACCCCACGAAGTCTCTTGAGGGCATCCCGCGACTAAACCGGCGGCGGCGCCAGGACGAGATCCTGTACGCGGAGTCCGAGGCGGAACAGATGCTGCATCCCCTGGCGCGGACCTCGTGGTGTCGCTTTCCGCGCGCCGGTCCTTTTTTGGGTGGGGGTGGTGCTGTCACGCGGTTCAACTGCAGTTGTTGGCCGCCCAAGAAAGGCAGTTGAAGAAGAAAACAAAGAAGGCACGTTTGCGAGTACCTGTCTGTCTATGTATATTGTCCTTTTTGATTGTTGGCCATCATCCTTCCGCCCATTCGCTGTCGTCCATCTTCAGAATGCAATTGTAAAAACGCCTCAGGTTCCCGAAGTGCTGCGCCTGTCACGCAAATCTGAAAGAGCTTGCATCCGTGCCAATTGCACCTGGAAAAATACGTCTGGAAAATACACATACATGCTGCACCTACACAATTGGTTTAACAAATAAAACAAATACAGATGCAA